CCATGTGATTGGTTGATTAGATAATTGCATTAATGAGAAATTGAACAGGTGTTCCTAATAATCCTTTAGGTGAGTGTATATACCTATATATAGGTAGAAACTAAATATATTTTTACAGCTTCGTGATACGAATAGAAATAACAAGAGTGACTGACTTAAGCGTCTGCGTCTCGAAGTAGCTCTGATCGCCCACCCACTTGCAAATCGCGCTATTCGCATGATAACAACATGATAATCCAACAGTTAGTATTGGGTAAAGAAATATGTGAATACGCCCATTGTGACCGAAATAAACAAGAGCACATGTCTGGGTAGTGTTTACACTGATCGGCTACAAAATAGCACACGGATACGTCTCTGCCGCTGAAGCTTTGCGCCAGTGTTGCCACTTTCAGCAGCGAATCTCATACCATTGTTCATGGCTCAGTGGGCTAAGCCTATATGCCTGTAATCATACGGTCGCCAGTTCAAACCCAGCCTATTTAGAACGTGAATAGCGGCACTATACGCCCCCGATGTAGGTAAAACAAAGAAAGGTGACGTGGTTTGCTTTTTTGCCGATTTAACCTAATTTTAAAAACTTTATTACTTCCGACAATGGAAGTTTTGAAAAGAAAACAGATTATGGATTTAGTCAGTGTTTTTTTCATGATTCTACATAATGATTTCAGCGAGATATAAACTGAAATACACAAGAAAAATATGCAGTTGACAATGCCCTCGTCCCCAGAGCGTTAATAATGGTGAATTATTTTATTTCCATCAACTCTGCATAGGCACTGCATCATATTTATATGGTCACAGTTTGAAATTTTTCATTGCATCTACCAATAAACTGTGAAAAGGATTTTATTGTTGCTACTTTTCTTGCGTTTCAAACTACCTTTCCAAAGTGATGGGTGTGGGGTGGAATGGAGTGACATTCCAGACTGATGGGCCATTGATAGTATGCAAACTACTACAGGTGTGGGGACACCTATCTCATCAATATTCATTGTGCACGCCACTGACTTTCAAAAAAAGAGTGCCACTCCAAAGTTCTAACACTTTAGTAATCAAACCACATAAAATTTCAGAATGTCTCTTTCACCTATGTGTAGCCAACCCCTGTGTCTATAAGCTTCAGGGCTCAAAAGTCTTAGCTAGAAATGTCTATAATGTGATTTTTTCACAATTTCTCAGCAAGTCTGAAAATAGGTTTTTGAAAAGTATATGTTTGAAGTTGATTTTAACAAAAAATTGAATAATAACATTCTACGTGGTCTCAGATTATTGGTGCTGAGTTTGTGCTGAATAAAAACAAATGTAACACTTTAGGATAAATGTTTTTTAGACAGGTGAAATTTTTTAAAATGTCAAGGCATGTCAGACTACCCGGAAAGTGGCTGAGAGGCCTCAGACTCCCAAGGGTTAATATTTCACAAATTTGAGGCAAAACAGGTTATTTTAGTCAGCACTGAAAAAATGCCTTCGCTTGCATTCTTCATAGCGATTCTGAATTTTCTGTGGATTATTACTGTGTGGATTTCTTGTGAACTGAATTTTACTGTGGACTTTCATTTTGGATTTTACTGGATTACTCTTATTGGACAGATTGCTTTGGAGTTGCCCTGTTGTTTTGACTGTGTTGTTTTTTGTCTGCTAGCCTGCCCTGTTACAATCCTATATTTGTTCAATAAATCTCCCATTTGTGTTTTTTACGAATGTGCCTGGAATTGTGATCCATTGCCGGTCCCGACATGCTGTTACAGAGAAAGTGACGTAATTTTGTTGTGATGCAAATTGTTTTGCAGATGACATGTTAGGTCTTAAATCACATAGATAGATAGATTCTTTATTTGTCACATGTAGTTATAACTGCTACAACATACAGTGAAATGGTTTTTCTGGCAAAAAGTACCCCCGGCTGTGCTATACATACAAAAGAAATAAGTACCAACATCACAGAAAGATAAAATATATATAATACACATAAGTATACATAACATTGCACTGTGAAAGTATAAATTGCACTGTATACAGATTGCACTGTGAAGATATAAATCTCACTGTAGGTGTGCCATAAAATGCAGATATGCAAATCTTTTATAAGTTATGGAACTGGATAGTAGAAGACTGTGTGTGTGTTATGTGCTGTGGTTGAGAAGTCTCACTGCTTGTGGAAAAAAACTCCTCCTAAACCGTTCAGTTCTTGACTTCAGGCTGCAGAGGCGTTTCCCTGACCTCAGTGGCCTGAACAGTTTGTGGGCGGGATGGCTGGAGTCCCTAGTGATCCTGGTAGCCCGGGATCTGCACCTTTCAGCATAGATGTCCTGCAGGGCTGGTAGAGACGTTCTCATGGTGCGTTCCGCTGTGCACACTACCCTCTGCAGGGCTTTCTGCTGCTGTACAGTGCAGTTCCCATACCACACCATGATGTTGTTAGTCAGGATGCTCTCGATGACTCCAGTATAGAATCTCCTCTGGATGTTGTTGGAGATCTTGAACCTCTTTAGACGCCTCAGGTGATAGAGGCACTGTCTGCCTTTAGTGATGAGGAAGTCTGTGTGTGTGCTCCAGGTGAAGTCCTCATTGATGTGGACACCAAGGTATTTGAAGCTACTGACTCTCTCCACGGGGGTTCCATTGATCTGTATTGGGGTGTGAGTTCGCTCCCCTCTTTGTCTCCTGAAATCAATCACCATCTCTGTTGTTTAGTTGATGTTCATGGAGAGGTGATTTGCCTCACACCACTTCACTAGGCCCTCCACCTCACACTGGTAGGCCCTTTCGTCATTCCTGGAGATGATTCCTAACACCACTGTGTCGTCAGCAAACTTCACAATGGAGTTAGTGGGGTATCTGGCCGTGCAGTCCGCGGTGTAGAGGGAGTAGAGAAGGGAGCTCAGCACACATCCCTGGGGGGCCCCTATGTTCAGTGTGAGTGTACGGGAGTACACATCCCCTACTGTCACTGTCTGTGGTCTTGCGGTCAGGAAGTTGTACACCCATTTGCACAAAGATGTACTGAAGTCCTGGAGCTTATCCAAGAGGGTGTGGGGGATTATGGTGTTAAATGCTGAGCTGTAGTCTATGAACAGCACTCTTACATAATGACAACATCCCTCATCAAGATGGCTCAGTGTGGAGTGCAGGACCTGTGTGACGGCATCTCCGGTGGATCTGTTTGTAAGGTATGCAAATTGCAACGAGTCAAAGTTGGAGGGAAGGAAGGAGCTGATGAAGGGTTTCATGAGTCTCTCAAAGCACTTCATCACCACAGACGTCAGGGCTATAGTCATTGAGGTTGGCTGGGTGGGTGTTTTTTGGTATGGGGACAATCACTGATGTTTTAAAGCAAGTAGGGACCACCTGCTGAGCCAGGGAGGCATTGAAGATGTTGGTGAAAACCATGGCCAGCTGATCTGCATATACCTTCAGTACACGTCTCGGGATGCCATCTGGTCCCGCTGCCTTCCTGCAGTTAGTGGCCCTCAGAGCTGTCCTCACGTCATGCTCAGAGTGTCAGTGGTGCCGGTTCAGCAGCGGGGGCAGATGCAGCTCTCTGATTAGCCGCCATAGCAGGTGCCTCGAAACGCGCGAAGAAAGCATTAAGGTTGTCAGCTAGTTCCAGTTTCGTGCATCTCACAGTGCTGGGTTTATTGTCCGTAGCCCGTCCCATATACGTCGGGGCTCGCTGTGTTGGAAATGCGACTCCACTTTGTCCCTG